TCTGTGTTTCTCTCGAGTGGATGCAATGTTCAAGTTATCCGATTGGATTCTGTAGAAACGTGATTTTCTCGGAAAATTGTTCGAAAATCTATCAATGCCGAGAGTCTGAAAGTCATCTAAGAGTAATTGGCTAACAGTAGGATCTGATTTATCCGAACTGAACGAACATTTACAAGTCCTATGATCAAAATATTGATTGAGCCGATAATTTTTCTATTATAATGCTTTAGGGCCTTGTCGGCTCTCGAAACACAATATTAATTGTTACGAGTGCCGAGAATATTAATTTTATTCGTACACGCGAATTGGGTGGCAATGGACTCGAATGACAGCTACGAGGTGAATGTCCTTAATCTTCTCTCCGAAAATGACTTTGAGGAATGTTTATCCCAAAAGAATAAAAAACAGTTAGATATATTTTTGACAAATAATCCAAAAGTCTTACTGAACTACACCACGCAAAACAAGTCATACAGAATTCAACAAGTCATACAGATCCGATCACTTAGCATACACTATATCGATTCACACTGGAACGGAAGTAACCAATACAATACAAAATGAACGGTTTGCGTTTCATAAAGCCGATTGGAATGCAATAAATAAAAGTATATTAGATAAACATTTCTTCCGTACTGTTATAGTAATGTTGACGAACTTGTAAAACAATGGTATAAATGGCTTTGCCATATCATTGAAGAAAATGTCCCCAGAGTAACAAGCCACAGAAAGAACCTCTCCCCTTGGGTGTCTAGTAGTACATCACACCAAATAAAAGTTATTTCCACATTAAAACGTAAAATCGAACAGAAAAACAGAAACAATCTAAGCGGCCTCCTAAAACTAAAAAAGAAAGAAGCTCTGCTACGCAAAAGCTTTTCAAAGGAGAAAAGTTTTCTGCACTACAAAAATATCTTCGATCAACCCACAAAGGCATTCGTTTTCCTGACCATATGTCTTTCGGAAACAATCAAGCTTCCAATGATAATGAAAAAACTAAGCTTTCCAATAAATTCTTCTGCAGTGTCTTTACCAGAGATTATCTACTAAATGCAAATCAAAATAACGAAAACTATGTCCATAATAAATTAGTTATAACAGAAAAACAAATTGTCCAAATTCTCTCGAACCTCGGTACCAGTAATGCCTGTGGGCCTGACAACATCGGAAATCTTATCCTAAAAGATTTTTTTATCTCTAGCAAAATCACTCTATCTTGTTTTCAAAACTGTAATAGCAAAAGGATTTTTCCCCACTCATTGAAAAATCAGTGAAGTAGTCCCAGTTTTCAAGGACGCGAACAAATCACAAATAAAGAATTACCGGCCAATAAGCCTTCTTTGCAATGTATCAAAAATACTAGAGAAACTTATCTTTGTTGAGCTTTATAATCTAACCAACAAACACTAGCATGAAGCCCAACACGGTTTCTGTAAAATGCGTTGGGTGATTACTCAACTTCTACATTTTCTTGACCATCTGTACCAAAAATATGACATTTCAACTGAAACGGAACTTTATGTTCTCTACCTTGATTTTCGTAAAGCATTTGACAGCGGTCCTCACCAAAAATTAATTGATAAAATACAACAATTCGGAATTGGCGGAAACTTCGTGAAACTCATTGCAAGTTACTTAACAAACAGGGGTCAATATGTGAAAATAAATGATAAGCGCTCCCCAACAGCATCAGTAACTAATGGTGTGCCAAAAGGGTCAATCATTAGACCTTTAATATTTATCCTATTTATAAACGATTTACCAACTATAATTAAAAATAGCGAATCTTTTGGGTATGCAGATGCTTTCAAACTTGACTGACCCTTGTACTATACAAGAAGACATAAATAGAATAGAAAAATGGTGCTCAGACAACGAATTGAAACTCAATAGTGATAAATGCTATATACTACCAATTCAAACGAAATGCGAAATTGATAATTTGACGCTAAATGCCAATCGCCTAAGTTGTAAAAAAAGAACAAAAAGATCTAGGTATTATAATGGCGACGAACTTAAATTGGAAAGCACATTGTGATAAAAGATGTTCCAAAGCCTGGAGAGCTTTCAATTTTCTAAAACGCAACGTATCGAAACTAGCAAACAAATATATGAAACAGGACTCATACAAAGGGTATGTAGTCCCTGTAATAGCATACGCATCTCAGGCATGGTTAACAAACAAAGGTGAAATGAGGGATATCGAAAAAATCCAAAATCGGGCCACCTCATGGATACTTGGCTTATGGGAAAATTACAACAATAGATTAAAACAACTAGAACTCCTGCCTCTATCTATGTACTTCGAACTACACGATGCCCTACTCTTACTATCCATCATGCAAGGAAACTATAACATCAGAAAACCCGTATCAATAAAGAACAACCCTGGAAATGACATCAAAACAAGACAAACCAGCGGTAATCAAATAAATATTGAAAAAACAAGAACAAAAAAAGCCGATTAAAACTTCTGAAAGAGATCTAGCAGACTGTTAAACATCATTACAAAGAAATCAAACTACGAGATTAGCGAGCTGACGAAGCCGGTTTTAACAAAAATCTACTGGAAATTTTTTGAAGAATAAAGTTAAATAAACTCATGCACATGGAGAATCATCTGCAATTGTAGTGACCAAAACTGTGGGTGCAAACCCTTGAGCCAAGAGCTCTAAAGACTGACGAACTACTACTGCTACTACTAATATCATCTTCTTTGAAAGCGGCATGAAATGAATTGCAACGAGATTCTTGTTTGAATACTTTTCCAAAGTGAAGTTTTGCCTTAGATTCGAAAATTGTTTTGTTGCTAGTAAATTTATCAAGTTCGATTCATTAAAATTTCATTTTTCGTTTTTTTTTTAAATCCTATCGGTTCTTAAGATTTTGGCTAATTTTATATCGGTTTTGTGACCCCTCATGGCGTAGTGTGGTCGAATAGTTTTCCTAAGTGTGCGTGTGTTTGTGTTTTGAGAGAGGGGACTTATTTTTATTTTCAGTTTTTTGGCTCAACAGGTATTAGTGACAGGTAGAAGTATTATGGTCTTAGTGACAGCTTCGGAAATTATTGCGCGATGCTTATTATGCATGCGATTAGCGTTATCAAATCGGAATACAGACTTTTTTTGGTTTAAAAACTAGGTTAACAATTCACTTGAATAAGTTAACATGGCTGTTCTGATGAAGTGTCTGGCAAACATTTTTTTTTGAAAATGACTGCTTTTTAAATGACCGTTCAATTCGAAGTTTTTTGTTAGTTTTAAACCAACTCTGTTTTTCCATTTTTTGCTTCGAAGTTTTCTCGGCTTGCCATCGGCTTATGTTATATCTGTTCAGTTGCCTCATAATATGTCTGAATGTCAAAATGATTTGAAATTCTTTTGTCCACCAATTTGTCATGCTATGTTTGTCTCGTATCGCAAATTGCGCGCAGCTCTTTGTGGTGCAGTGTTTTTTTGTGCTGCAAAATTTTCTTCCCTGCTCTAAGGCAGGTATGTTTATCACATATTTGATATCGTATGTAATCAAGATCGGACGAAGTGGTGATCTGTTTTTCCTTGCAGAATCAACGTGAAAACTTCTTGTTCGACTTGGACTTACATTCGCTTATGTGAAAGTTGCCGACTTTACATAGGCATTATATTACTCGGGTCTTTTGGTTTCACCGGTGGAACTGCTTTTTACTTACGGTCCTCGGCCCCTTCAAAGTCTATCGATATCAATACTGGGAGAAATCCATTCACTTTAAGATGAATTAGCTGTAATAATACAAAATGAAAAGGTAACTCGCATAAAAAATCTGGTATCTCCTTTTCTGTTCTTCTGTTTCATTATTTTGTTTCTCATTTTCATGCCTGTTTTAATTTTTGCAGGAATGTCTTTTTTGATTTACAAAATTTAATTGCTTTCTGGCGCATAAAGTAATGTGTTCTAATGCAGTGTTGTCATGGAACCGAGGCGAATTTGGGTATTAATTATATTCCGCTGCTCTTTTGTCAATCTACGCAATGCCTGAAATCAGAACTAATTACCTTATGACTTGGCTTAAGCCCCCTCCCAGCCCTAAAAACCAAGTAGTCTTCTTGAAAGTGTGCGGCCTATAAGCAGATATTTTTCTTTTAATACCCGTTTTTAAGGGGACAATTTTGAAAAAACGTCGAGTATGATCGGACTAAAATAATAACTACATGTTTAGTTGAAACATGTCGATAGATTTTTTCAAATTACGCCAAATTACAAATCCAGAGTATTCAAATTAAATCTATTTTTTTGAAGGATTTTAATGTAAAACTGAGTTCCAACTAAAAAGATTTTGAAGTATTAATTGCTCGCGCGGTAGCTAGTACTCAAAGTTGTAAAGCGTTTCTGCTGACTGAACTGTCGGTTCACTAAATTGTCGGCTTACTACTCTGCAACACATCTTCAAACTCGTGTGTAATGTTGATGTGGTTCGCGCAGTCAACTGATAAACTGTCTTTTTTCTGTCTGCCATTTCCCGTTTTTAGTTTTTAAAAAAAATTTCCGTCAGTGCTAATATGTTTTCAAGCAACCGACGCAGTACAAAGCAGATTGCTCCGCGAGGTGATGTTCTTAAATCTTTCATTTGTGCTTACAAAATATAAGAGTTAGTTTTTATTTTGTTACGCAAGGCTTTCTTTTCTAGGGCAGAATTTTTTTCCGCGTATTTTGTCACATTTTGGCCCGAAAAGTTTTTAAATAAGCTTTGATTGTCAAGAAAATGTCACTGGGCACGCGTTACTTTAATTTCAAATTTGATTTACTTTAGTTTTCTTTTTGCGATGTTTTCGAACTGTGTATTAGTTTGGTAAGCGTGCGTTTCCAGTATAAAGGTGAATCTACTCAAATATATTCAGTTAAGCATTGAAAATTTATAATTCCGCTCAGCACATGGATAGAGCGAAGTAAAAGGTTCTCTGTCTCTCTCTCGCTCTCTCTCTCTCCCGTACCGGTAAGATTGTACGCTTTTACCCACTATAGTCCTTTTTATTATTATTTCTACACGCTTTTATTTCAAGTTGGGGTTTTTAAATGATATTGCTTCTTGAACCATCATCACCATTTATTAAGACAGCCTATTGTACACATTTGGACATTGGTAAGTCCCTCTTTTTACACCATTAGCACATAGTAAGTACAGCAACGGTAATTTGTCTACTACAGTTCTTGCGAAAAATGGAGGTTTTCCTGACCATTTTATCACCGAATTATCTGGAGTTGTAGTGTATAAGTTGGAATGATGAAGTGTTTCTCAAGTAGCATAATATTTAAAGGAATACTTGTGGTCTAAGGTTAGTATAGTATATAGCTGCCGCATTTGAATTGCTGTTATGTTAATAGTTACATAGTTCACTTCTGTCTCTGTGACTATACCACTTGGTACTATGGAGGAGAGGACAGGAGAGGAGAGGCAGCGGTGAAATAGAGTGGGTTTTCACATTAATTTACACCACTCTCACGTTTTTAAACCATCTCTTCTTACAGGGTTGACATTTTGCTGACGGGCTTGATTTTTTCCTTCCCCTTCTTCCAGTCTGCGATAAATTGCATGTCAAACTGTTGAGCAGCATTATATTAGTAGCTTCCCTTTCTGCTTAAACAGCTTAAGGCGTCCTTCCGTTATAACCAATTGCTGGTTAGAAATAATCTAGATGTATCATTGATTAAAGGCTTCAAGTTTTGTTTCTCACTACGGCCAAGTAATCCGTCGTTTGCAAAAATGCAGCTCATCGTCAACTGAAGTGTATCTGCTCAGACAAGGTAAATTCCTATCTTTCATCTCGGTCTAAGTGGTCTCTTCCTGGGGTTTTGGTGTTTGGGAAAGTGGTGTTCTGTATATCAAAATTGCCGAGATTGATAAAGCCGACTACATTTTGCAAAGATGTATTGCATGGACTGCAAAGAAAGAATTTTAAAAATCATTTGTATGAGTAATGGCATCTACTTAACAATTAGCCCCCCCCCCCCCCCCACTTTTAAGAAGGGGGTAATTGTTAAGTAGATTAAGTTAGTTGAAAGTTCGATCAATCAGAAGGCAGCCAAGTTCGAATTTTAAATACAATGCTCTAGCACTAATTTACTGCTTTAATTAATTGGGGTGGCAAATCTCAAATAGATTCCGTAGGGGAGATTCTCAAGTAGATCCGAGTAATGAACGTAGTGAAGACTCTTTTATAGGCCTTGGTCATTTTTTGTGTTTTTTGAAGAAAATTTGTTCACGCTCAATTTAGATTTTTCGCGGTTTGTTTTTCGATTTCTTTGTAAGATCTGTTCGTTTCCATTATCAACCCCATATCGAACAGCTAAAATTAAAGGTCACGGAAAATCGACTTCTAGTTTCGAAAGTGGATTTCAATGTTCAAATTTCCCAGCGGAATTAAAGTTTTACCTATTGATCCTGTTTTCTCAAATTGGGTTCATTTTATCGAAAAAGCTCCAATCATAAACTGTTTATCAAATTCAAAGAGCTTTAACAGCATTTTTTCTTAAAAATTCAAAAAAGTGAGGTTTTTTCCCAAACAAGTTAGTTTTTTGTTTTCTTGTGTTCATTTTTCTTTTCCAAGTGTCAGTTGGCTATGTTTCAAATTACAATGGTGTGCATCTAATCACCGGAGCCCTTGCATTACCATTTTTTGTCTTAAATAGTCCTGCAGATTTTTTGACAGGAGTCAATAAACGTCCGAAAGGCTGGTGTATGTTCTATTGACAAGCCGCTCAACCTAACATTTACCTCAATCAAGTTTTCCTGCCTTTTCGATTTTACTCTTAAATGCGAAGAACGAATTTTTTTTTTGAGAAAGTGGATTTTATTATCTTTCCAACCTCACACGATGAGTGGGAAAGGACTGTGGCGTAGGGTTCGTTATTTGATTTTTTTTTCTGCCAATTTTGCTATCTCAAGGAAAGCTAGTACGGGGTCAAGTGTGGTATCATATTGAAGCCCTATTGTGACTAGGATTCTAAAAAATCAAAAAATTGTCTCGGAGTCCTGAAAACGGATCCAATTTTTTTTTCAAATTTTCAGACTAATTTACCCAAAAGTTGACGAGCGGCTCTCGTTCTACTTCAATTTTATCATTATTCTACGTATTAAATTTCCTTTAAGTTTATTTGAGCGATTCAACTTCTCAATTTTGCAGTTTTTCATCTTACTCAGTCGCCCTCCACTAAATACTTTTAAGTGACATCGAAGTTAGTCAACATCATTTTTCAAAAAAGATTTTTTTGGCAACTAATATACCTTTGCGTGAAAAATGGGGGCTTTCTGTTATTATTTTTGGCGTCTTGTCTTTTGAAGATTAATGTAATGCTATCTCAACTTTTAAATAAACAACGATGATAATTGTCAAAATTGGGTACTTGCTTTAGCAAGTTTTTGGTAACTTACTTGCTTAAGTAATCGTTAAAGCTTCTCGAATTTAATAGGAATCCAAGAAATGCTTGCAATCCAGGTAAATGATTTTTCAAACAGCATCACTGAAAAATTTTGCTAACTCCAGCCAACAGACATATTTTAAGCCAACAGATGTTTTTAGTAAGTTTTCATTCAATTTGCCCGCTTTTTGAAATCTATCTATTATATGTTTAAATGCGGGCTTCGCTATCTCGCCATGTTTAAGCTTTTTCAACGTATTATTTTTGCATGTTTAACGAAAGAGTTTTTGCACGTTTAAGCTATTTCGTATATTGCAATGCTTATTTTTTTTTTCAATTTTCCAGCTTGCGATTAGCGTATTTTTTGCCAAATTCAAACCCAATAGTGGGATGCTGTCAGGGTTACGCTAGGGGTTGCGAATTGGACCTCCAAATATGATTACCCAAATCTTTTTAGTTTTACGAGATACGAAGATTCTTGTGATTTTTTCGAAAGTTTTCATAAATCTACGAATTAAAAAGTTCCACAAATTGAAAGTATCAACCATGTAGATGAGTGCTGTAAGGGTACTATCAGGGGTTGCAAATCTTGCCTCCAAACATGTCTGCTCCAATTCTTTTAGTTTCCGAGATATCACGTTTTATGATTTTTTCGAAAGTTTTCGAAGAACTTAGATATAAAAACTTGACAAACGTTGAATTTCTCAACACTGTAATTGGGCGCTGTCAGTCTACTCTCAGTGGTTGGAAATCTTGTTTCCAAAGACTGCTCAAATCCATTTAGTTTTCGAGATGAGACGTTTTTTAAGATTTTTCAAGTTTTTAAATAATAACTTAGCTACAAAAAACTTCTTTAAAATGAAATTCTCAAATTTATAGTGCGAGCTGCTGTCAGTGTACTCTCAGGCGTTGCAAATTTTGCATCCAGATATGACTGCTCAATTTTTTTGCTCCGAGATATGGCATTTTAATGTTTTTTCAGAAAATTTCAAAAGTAGGTTTGAAAAATATCACAAAGTTTGAAATTGCCAACTCTGTAGTCAGGTGCTGTCGAAGTACTCTCTGGGATTTTGGATCTCGCCTGCAAATGTGACTGCTCAATTGGTTTCGTTTTGCGAGATCTGAAGTTTCTTCAAAGTTTTCAAAAAAAATGAATTAAAGAACGTTTAAGTTCGCAATTCCCAACCCAACTGTGGGGTGTTCTCTGGGCACTCTCATGGGTTGCAGATCTTGCCGACAAGTTTGATTGCTCAAATCATCTTAGTTTCTGATATATGCCGTTTTTTTGCTTTTTTCAAAATTTTTCTAAAAGATCTCAAATAATTTCCAAATTTGAAATACTCGACACTATGGCGTGGTGTTCTCAAGGTACACTGGGGATGTTTGGACTCCAATTGTGACTGCTCAGCTCATCTTTCTTTTTCAGATATGACGTTTTTTATCTTTTTTTGAAAATTTTCAAAAGTGTAATTTTAAATTGAATTTTGGTGGAGTGATGTCAGGTTACTATCAGCGGATGCTTAGCTGGCCTCTCATGCCAGTATTATCATTCAATTTTTTTTGTTAAATTTAGAATGAAATGATGAAAAAAGTCGGATATTTTAAATTACATGATGCTGGATTACGAATCCCATTTATGAATTTGATGAATTTGCAATTGAAATTGTTCAAACTTTTGAAATCAAAAGCGTTGTTGGATTTACCCGTCTTTTTAACGGTTGCATTCGTTTTCGCTTCGAATTTGTATAACTTTCGGTTTTGTTTTGTTCTCATTTTGGTAATTTTTTTATTTAATTCAGACGCTCTCCACTAAACACTTTTTAGTGACATCGAAGTTAGTTAACACCATTGAGTTTGGGAATGTTTATGTCGAGTAATGTCTTTCCGTGAAAAAAGGAATTTTGTATATCAGCTTGTTTTTTTTGGCGTTTTGGCTTTTTAAGATCAGTGTTATGTTATCTCAATTTCAATCGGTAAAAGTTGACGGTTTCTACAATTGAGTGTTTGCTTTAGAAAATTTTAATCGATAAAATTTCTCGATAATAGCGATCAAAAAAATGCTTGCAACCCAGGTAAATGCCTTTACTAACAGCATCACTTAAGTTTTTCCAACTGTCGGAAGCTTCAGCTAACAGACTTATTTTGATCAAATTTACACAGAAATATCTCTTTTGTTTGCCTTTGCGATAAGCAAGGGTATTGCAATCCGATCGAGTACTAACTTTTTTTCTTTAAATAACTTTATTCGCTGGTTGATCAACTTCACATGATTGACTTCTAGACTCATCTCTTGTGGACCCTTGTTTCATAATTATTCAAATTTTTTATGCGTTCCCGGTCTTTTTAGTCTGGAGGTAACGAATACACCCCGGACGCAAAGGTCCTTGGTTAAAAACTGACGAGGACCTGTTTTTTTTCCAAATGGAATTATTCTTTCGGCCATTTATTCTGTTTCAAATGGGAAATATTATATCTGTCGGCCAATTATCTGTCTGCCAATTATCTTTTTTCGGCTAAGCTGGCACATGGTGGAATCGTTTTTTTTTCATGGCGCATTTTTAATGTTGTTTTCAGTGTTTTTTTTAGTTGTAATTTTTCTTGACTTTGTATTTCATTTTTTCTTTTTTCAATTGAAAATTTCATTGCGCCCAAATTATTTCGGTCTATTTTTTATCGACTTAGTGTATTAGTGTAGCACATTTTTTATGTTCCTGTCCCCATTTTTCAAGTTGGCTGCCTTTTTACCACAGCTTGTTTAAGTTTCGTTTTTTTTTCAGCTTAATAGGTTTTGGCTTTTAATATATATCAACTTAGTAGCCTCTTTTTGAGTTGTCTGATGAGCGATAAAGTTTTTGTGTGCTTTTGTGAGCTAGTAGGGGAAGGGGTACTATAACATTTTTAATTAGTTATGAATTCAATAAAAATTTTGGCTTGGAGTTTCTGCTCATATTTTCGGCTTTGTTACCGCTTTTGTAGTTTTCGGTGCTGCTATTGCATTCTAAACTATTTTCATTCATTTTGGTAGATCTAGTTGTATCGCAAGTCGTGCGAAGCTCGGCTTCGCCTCTGTTAAAATTTGTTTTAAAAGCTTCGATGTTGTATTGTTTCCGTTTTTTGCTTATTGGTTTTTCGCTTAAGGGTCTTTGCCTATTTTGTTTTGGCTTGGTAGCGATCTGATAGATTTCCATGCGTGTTGTGCTTCGGGTAGTCAAAATTGTTTCTATCGTCTGGCTTGCCATGGTAAGTTTTGATGTATTGCAAGAACTGCGAAGCTCTCCTTCGCTTCTTGAGAAATTTTGTTATTAGGTCTTAGTAGGAGTTAGTCATCAGAAATTTTTAACAGGAGCAAGTTTGCTAAAGTAGTGTTATACGGTCTGTCAAAATCTCCCCAAGCGAACTTGCGTGAATTATTGATCAACAAAAGTGCTTAATTTGAGTATTTGTTCACCGCTCATGTGTTTTATCTGCGTTCGTTTAATACGCTTTGTTGGTGGCTGGTATCTGGTCTATAGCAATGTCAGATGGCATAAATGTCAAGACTTTAAAGAAGCTGCGGGCACAACTGCTTATTGCCGTTTTGTTGCTCGTTTTTGTAAATTAAATTTAATGCTAGTGCTAAGTAAACGATTATGGGTTCAAATTTCCATGCTATTTCTGCTGTTTTTGAAGATTCTTCTTCACTCAGAGTACCACTCAATGACCTCCGATTGAGCAGACATAAATATCTCGCAAAACACTCTTTTTTCAAATTTTGATCTGGTTGGGTCCTTTTAGAAGCGTCCATCTTTCATCACGTCGAAATCTGAAGTTTCAGTAGTTTCAGAGAATTCGGCAAAGCGAAGAAAATCGTTCTTTTCATTGTTTGAAAGTAGTTGCAATTTATTTGTACCATGTTTGTTTAATTGAACTGATTTGTGCCTTAGAAGTTCGTTTTAAGTGCCTCAGAAGTTCGTTTCAAAGGTGACTATTTTGTTGTTGATTACTCTTAAACCACCTGTTTTTTGTTGCATTAAATGTGCAATCTACAAGAGATCAATTTCACTTTGTAATCTTATTAATTCTATATGAGTTTATGATCTTAGCTTCAAATTGATAGGTAAATACAAGGCACCTGTTTTTCGAATCAAGCTCTTTGAATGATAGTTCATTGAGTATGTACTCATTTCAAAAACTTGTGTTCAAAATTGAGAAGTGTTTTTTTGTAGAATGATTTTTTCGCTAAGATTTTATGAATGAGGCCAAGCAATCAAATAGTGATAATCGTGGTTTCAATTAAAAGTTAATTGTTCCATTAGAATAATTGGCGTGAAATTTAAAATAAAATTTGTTCACGTGTTTGTGAATTTGATTTAAACTTACACCTTTTTTTCAGCCTTAATCACTTTTTTTGCAATTTCGAGGGCTTTACTTCGTTTTTTCTTTTTCCTTTTTTTGTTTGCTCAAGTTTTGATCTATTAAGTCCTCCTTTTTTGTATATTCGCGAGTTTGCTGTTTATAGAAAGTGTTTGTCTTTCTATCAGATTCGTCCTATTGGTACAATACGTATTGATTACAACGCCTTCCCCTCCGTCAAGGTGATTTTATTGTGTCCTTTGCATACTAATTGAATCTAAAGACAGGTGCAAATGTGAAGATTAAGGTAATGAGGGTGACATTAAGAAGACTAAAAAATAAAGTTTACAGAAGACTTTTGGCTTACATCTATCTCAAAAACTAGGGTTTAAACAAATTTTTCGGCGGACTTACATTGAAACATTCGTTGAATTAATTGCCGTCTTAACAACTGTCGTACTTCTTCTTGGAAACCAAGAGGACCATTTAATTAGCCGACAAGAGGAGTTAATTAGATGGATATGGTGCGTACTGATCTTATTTTTTAGTTCTTATCCGAACTGAGAGGGCTTTAAGTATCAAACACTGAATAAACGAACATTCGTTTTCACATTTTTGCAAATGTATTGATAATGTAAATGGGTTGATCGCAAAATGGGTTAATGTTTCTTTCGTTATAGGCATTCCTTTAAATCAAGAATGCGCTTATATATGCTGCACTGTTTGGTCGGGTGTTGCGTTGTGCGATAGTTTGAACTTTTTTGTAATTTAGCTTAGACGTTGCAGATTAAAGAAAATGAACCGTTTCATGTATTCACTTTGGTTGTTTAATAATTCATTAATGGTTTCCATCCGCATGAATTACAATTGAACTTACCAGCATGAAAAGAGATCGTTCGAGTTTATCCCGTTTTTGACGGTATTATCCTGCCGGTTATTGACTGTCATTTTTTCTCTTATTTCAAAATAGGTCTGTGAAACAGGGAGTTAAGATGTTTGAAAAAAGAAATCTGGCTTGATTTCTATTAAACAAACTTATGTTTCAATTAAATGGTACGCTGGTAATTTGTAGCTTTACTTCTGTTTTTTGAAATTGGATTTAGATCAGTTGTTTTTTTTTGTTTCAGATATGCAGATGTTGATTATTGTACGATAGTTAAATCAATTTCAATCGGAATATTTCAATATTTTTTCTCAGTTATCTTCTAAAATTCCTTCTAATCGTTAAAATAGAGACTTGAAAATATCAATAAATATTGGAAAACTCAAATTTATTTGAACAAAAATTGTCCCCTGATAAATTAATTTGGTTCAGCTGTGTTGTATGTTGTACCCAAGTCAACTCTATTCAGTTTGACTGATTTTTAATATAATTGTATTCGATACTATTACCATTCATTCTCCCGCGCGTAATTGACTGGAATTCCACCTTCTGAATTTCAAAATGCATTATACTCGATACCGACTGCATTTCTTGTATGTTAATTACCTGGCGCCAATATTTAATTGATTTCATTTACGTCACAACCCATTACAATTAAATGAAAAATCGACAAAATGAGTATTTTTCTACTAGTTTATTTCAAATAAGTCCCAATTACGGGGAAAATTCAAATACAAGTGCGTAAAAATTCACGGCCTCGGTCGTTATTTACCACTAACAATGCTGAATTCTTACTTTGCCAACTTTGATTTGATTAAACTGCGCTTTTGAGGTGAAATTTATCAAAAGAGTTTTGTTACTACCCCTGTGACTCAACTGACAAGAGGCACACACATCAGAAGTTAATTGGAAAATATAATTGTTTGTTTCACGCCTCAGTTGGTATTACGTAATAAGAAACAAACGAGTTGGTTAGACTGAGTGATCGAATTATGTCACCTGGCGGGACGTGTGATCAAAAATCTGGAGGTTGTTGCGAGGAAGTGATTAACGTGGACCCACATAGTAATTTGCCAATTGACCCCAATTGGGTCTCCAAAGTGCCCCAGTTTCTGATTGATGGAGTGAGGGCTGAACGAATAGTTCCTGTCGCAGAGGTAAATATACCATCTTTCTATGATCCCTTTGAAAGAAATATTGACTAGTGAGCTGTAGTATGTTTCAAATAGTTTCCAATGATTAGAAAAGAAATTTACAATGATTCGGAAAGAAATTTGAAATGTTTCGTTAAAACAGCTTCTAAGTTGTCGATTGACTTTATTTTTTTTCTTTTTCTGAGTCGGAAAACTATCTATAAACTCAATTACTTTCTCGTTATTATTTACTTGCGAAAGCAAGTGTACTTGCAATCGCGGACTTGAAGACATGTCATTTTTTTCTACTTGGATAGTAAGAGGACTTTTTATCGGCACCTTGAAGAAACCACTCGATAGGCAGTTAACTGGTTTTTTTGGTGTTCTTCCAAGATGGGATTTTCCCATAGAATTGTTTTCATAAAACATTGGCAAATTGTTCCCTTCTTGAAAACGAATTTAATAAGTGTGAATGACTGTATTGAAGACTTTATTGTTCCGACTTTCGATACGAAAGTAACGGAATATTTGTGCTCCGGGTGGTTTTTTTTTCTTCAGACAATTTCGACTTTTTAACTAGCCATTTTTGACGGAATTTTTTCATATCATTCAAAAGGTATTGTTGTCCTGAGCTTAAATTTGAAAAGATGTTTCACCTGTGATCATTTTTCGTAAAGTTATGGGGGGGTTTAAAGATTGCCATTTTGGCCAATTTGGGACAATTAACACGCGATATATTTCGCGCTATTAACGTGTAAGCGGAGATTTAATCCGTCTAAGAAATCGTTCCAAATTGGTCGAAAGAACCTTATTTGTCATAATTGATTTGATACAATGAGCAAAATCTCTTCTTTTGTTCTCTATATGGCGTGTGGGGGAATGATTTTCGCAAAAATTTTCAAATTTTAGAAAAAAAATTTCATTTTTTTTATTACATTTAATTTTTTTTAAATGCTATTACTGCTCCATAAACTTTAAAAGGCAGTCGGAACATTCAGGGCTTTGTTCTGATTCGAGCAGTCTTGTTATACATTAGTGAACTAAAAACGCAAATTCAGATTTAAATCTATCGATCTATCTATTATCTTTTGTATATTCAAATGCGGACTTCACTATCGCGCCAGGTTTAAGCTTTTATGATATTTCTACTTTGTTCATTAAATTAGTTTAGGAAAAAGAGTTGATTACGAATTCCATTAATAAATTTGATTATTTTGCAAATGAAATTTTTTCAGTTTTTCGTTGAATATGTAGATTGCAGTTGTATCCTGTCGGTAATTTTATGTCTCCGTTTATTGGTTTAAAATTACGAAGATCTGAAGCCCAGTTGTTTTCTAGATTTGAGCACATAAGTTTAAAACACCATAAGTGAAAACTAATTTTTTGATCAAGTTTTGATTCAAGAAAATACCAGCTTTCGTGAAGCAAACCAAGCTATCAAGAGCACTTGATATGCAGGCATATAGCAGAAGTATTCGTGCTGCAGTTTTGGAACAACGAAGTTTCGATTTCGTTCGACGCGCGATTTGGGTTTAACTGAGAGAAAAACTGCTCGTCACAAAAGTTCTTTAAAGTCCACCGGTTCTCAAATATTAAAATTGGTTTGAATACTTTAGGACACAAAAAATAATTTTGGAGAAACGGAGGTTTGAAGATTTTGTTCATTATATTACATTACTAAGCAACTTGTTACTAGGCAACTCTAAGATTTAGTTTTTCTCTCAGGGCAACCCAAGTTGCGTGAAAGGCATTCAAATTTTTGTCGCTTGACAACTATCTGTACGAATTTTGCTGTGACAGTGCTTCCAAGGTTTATCATTCGCAAATCAGTGCTTCCAAGGTTTATCGCAAATCAATTGAAGCTGTGAAACTAACTTGAATTTTCAAGTTAACATCGCTTGAATATATCTTTCCAGAAAAACTATGTTCATTGACACTTTTCCAAATGTCTGTTGGCTATGTTTTTTCCTGTTGTTCAAATTTTTTTTTCGGTTTGGTGGATGTTGTCTCTTCTGTCTGCTAGTTTGCCTTAATTTGTTTGTGTTGTAACACAAATAGCGCAAAGCTCTGGTTCCGATTTTTTTTTAAAAAATCAATGTGCCAATTGAAGCTATCAAAGCAATTTTAATTGTTCGAATTTTCATCGATTGAATAGCTTGCTGAAAAACTTCAACCTTTAGTGAGCTAATTGTATCCTTAAAAGTCACTGGAAAAAAATTATAAATTCATGGCATGAATTTTTTGATTCTAGAATCCAGTGAGCCAATAGTATTTTTCAAAAACTTTTGTTTAGCGAATCGCTGCAAGCTATCTAAATCAATTTCATTTATTATTCTTTATTAATCTCTCTGAAAGTATGACCGAATTGGTAAGCGAGATTGGTAAAAGCTTTGAGTTACTTTGAAAGATATTTGAGCGTACATACTCGTTTGAGGCTTGAAAACTATTTTAACGCCGATCTACGAAATCGCATTGTAAGTCATATTTGGATATCAAGATTGTTTGGATACGATAGTACGAAAACGAAAATTGTTTTTCGTTTGACTAATTGAAGGTGCAAAATTGTCAAAGAATACCGTTTTGAACAATACTTGTTTTTATTGATTTATGAGGTTAAAAAATTCCTGTAATACACTTTTTCTCTTTGTGACATATTTTTGACAAATGTTGTATCAAAAGTAAAAACAAAATAAAGTGATATATTATAATGAGTGGCACATTTATGAATTAGTTCCACTACGCTTGTGATGAAAAGGATATCAATTTTCTAACAGTGATTGAATGTCAAATAGTCATAAGCAATTGCGTGTGGTCAATCTAAGCGCTAGTGAAGCTATTCTGCGCAAATGTTCAAAACGAGAAAAAGTAAATCATTGACCCGATTTTTCGAATTTGTTCAGTTTTTCAAGATAGACATTTTGAGATGCTCTCGGTGCCATTTTAGACAACGCTTTTAAATTTGAAACGAGTAAAATATAGTTGCTCTGTATTGTTTTCTGATTCGCTAGAACAAGTCGAATTGTAATCGGAGAGATTTTTTCCATTACACAGTTTTTGTCGGCTTAGTTGCCAAATCTGGGAATTTTCTTGTGCTGTCAGCAAGAGTTTCATCGCAGATCCTCGGTTTTTGATTTACTCGGGTAGTTTGTAAAATGAATAGCTCTGACGTTGCTTATTTTGCTTGGTTTTCCTTTTGTTTTTTTTTTCGCTGAAAAGTTTTATTCGGCCTAAATGGTTTAGGCTTATGTTTTATCTGCTTAGTTACCCTATTTTATATCGCTTCAAATGCAAAAAATGATTGATTTTTTGAAAAATTCAGATAGTTTGTGTTGCAAATTTTCAAAGTTTTGAAGTATTCAATCTTGTTCTTGTAGGACTATGACGTGTTCGACCAGAATGCAGTGCTGCGAGTGGACCAGTATGGATTCTTCCTCAACTGGAAGGGAGACGGTCGGGTGAGTAATCACGTGAGCAAAGGATTAATAGACAATGTACATAATTCACGAATGATTCACCCTCTATCGTTTTCACTCTTGTATCTCTCACTAAGTCAATCAATGAGTGTGAGCGAAATGTGCCTCCAAATTCAAGAGGGGCAAAATGCTTGTAGAAGAAAATTAATTTCAGAGAAAATTCTTAGTTCAATAATTGCACAAATGGTCAAAAATAATATATAGCACAAGGTGATTGTCACTAAACCACCATATCTACAAAGCGCTATATCTTGAGGCCGAAATTACGTCAGAATAACGTAAATTACATCAGAATAATGTAAATTTCGGCTTGTTGAAATTGTAATCTTAATTTCGACTTGATGGCCCTTCGCCTTGTTGGCCTACCATCAGGACAAATAATCAGAATTTTCAAATTCTCGGAATTAAATTTTTATTAAGAGTGTCTACGAAACGTTTCATTGTTTAGCATCTTCTGTGCAGTTGAAATATAATTTTGGTATTTGTATATTGCTTTTGAAAGTTCAAAGTTTTTGAGCTGATTTGTTTTGGTGTTTTGAAAATCACTTAGGTTAATTACTGTTTATACAGCACAGAAGATGCTAAAAAATGAAATCTTTCAAAGACACACTTGACAAAAATGAAACATTTGAGAATTTGAAAACTCTGAATTTTTGTGCCGGTTTAGGCCAACGAGGCGAAGGGCGAATAAGCTGAAAAAGAATTACCATTTCAACTTATTTTTTTTTCAGTTTGGCTACTAGAGATGTTACCGAATTGATTTTGCCAGATTTTGAAACCGGAGATTTCGGAATTTTCAACAGACGGAATTCGCTTATGGTGCCGATGAGTGACTACTCATTGCATAGATTTACGTTGGCTAGCTTGTTTCACTGTTCTTTGGGCAGCAACGTCATGTACGTTAAACGGAACAGGTTGACTCTGGAGTTTTCGGTAAAAATTGTTTTGCTCCATGATTACACTAGCGAATTTAGCGATCGTTATTGTTATACTACGACTATTTTTTGTTTCCTGAACTAAATCGAAAATAAAAAGGAAAAAAACTATTTGTTTCAAACTTCTAACTCGATATATCTAACAATTTTTGAAATGCATTATTTGTATATAATGTGGTTTTATGCTTTCCAATTTTTTTCCTTCCAAATTAGTGTGGATGCTTTCAGTTTGTTATATTCAAAACTATTACATGCAAATTTGTGTCTGTTTGTATTTGGTGCCACTTTTGCTCCATCGGATTGGAAATTTCTTAGCATACATAGCTGCTTTATTTGTGGCTAGTGTTTGCCGGTTGTTAAGCGTTTTTGGTCGAGGGCAGGGCGTGAGACTCCAATTCTCGGGGTCGCAGTTTTGAAGCCTATACGTTTTTCTCATTCGAGGCTTATTTGTATCTTTTCTAATTTCCTTTCTGAAAGCTTTGTTTTTGCTAGTTCTTGCGAAGCGCAGCTTCGCTTTTGTGAAACATTTCACTTTTAAATCAATAATGCAAGTATTTACACTTGCTAAGCGAGTGTATTATAACGAACTTTCTTTTTTTTTCTGACCTAAATCGCAAATATTGGTGCTACTTTTGGGGCACCTTCACAGTTTTTCATAGCATGTGCTTTGACATTTGAATAGCAATAAGCTAACATTATTGATGCATGTTTAATTTATCAAATGAACCGAAAAAAGTGATTTGTTTCAAACAATATCAATGCTAAAAACTCGATTTCAAAAGTTTTCTAACTCAATATACCTTGAAACTTTTTAAAATGCATAATTTGTACATATGGTGGCTTTATGCCTTGTAAGCAATTTGTTAGATGCAAAGTTAGTTTGGGTGCCTTCAGTTTGTTATATTCCATATTATTACTTGCTAAATTGAGTCTAATTGTATATGGTGCCACTTTCGCTGAATCCAATTGGAAATTTATTAGCATATGTAACTGCTTTTGTTGTGACGATTGTTTGTCTGTTGTTAATCTTGCGTGGCTGAGTGGATAGTGCGTGAGACTCAAAATCTTTTGATTGCAGGTCGCAGATTCGCATCCTACGCGTAGCCGAGTTTTTGCTAATTCGAGGCTTATTTCTACTTCCTATTTCACTAGATAGAGCTGCTTTTTGGTCTACTTTTTCCTATTTCACTTGATATAGTAAAATTGTTACGAAATTCTGGAATTTTCCTGTATTTTTACCGGATTCCTGAACCGGAATAAACTGTCACGTTTGCAGGATTTCCAGGTTCCGGAACTGGATTCAGGAATCCGGTGCATTCCTATTTGATGCTCTTTTTGTAGAGTGGAACAAGCGAATGATTTTCCAATAATTTAAATCGTGTGACTTTATGGATTCTAAAATAGCGTTTTTAATTTTTTGTTCTGGTTGAATGCTTTCGGCTGAAATCACTTCGGTGTAGGTTATGATTTAACGTGATATCGCATTCTCCACATGATATTGCGAATTTGATGTGCGTAAAAAGTTTCTTCTACTTTTGTGTTTCCTAAAATTTTTAATGTGTCGTCAATTTTTCAATGAAAACATTTTCTTTGCAGCTCTACGTGTTTTGTTTGCAAGTATTGTTGGCTTGTTTTACCGGTTGGTAAGATTTGTTCCGATGATTTTTTAATACAGGCAATTTGGCATGCTTTTGTACATGAAAGTTAGAAAGAGACATGAAAATGTTGATACATAGTTTTCGTCGAGTTTTCTACCGACTAGTTAACCATGCTGTTATTGTTGTACTGCGCTCCCGCTTCGTCTCTCTGTAAGAACGTCCATGGTAATTAAAATCAGGATCAGACTATATAGCGGAACTGGATCAAGTTTTCTGAAATTGGGTTCTTGATGGGTTTCTACAGGCCGTGTTTTTTTCCAGAAAGTTCTCAAGATTGTCCACGCTCAATTTTTTCAAACGGTTTGAGTTTCGATGTTTTTGAAGCTCGCGTTCAACATCCATTTACGAAATGGAGCTCAAATTACACTCACCGAGAACCAAAGGGGAAATGGCGCTTAACTTTTATTTCAGTCATGGATTTAATTTTTAGAGTTCCCAGCGGAATAGGCAAACTCCTCATTAATCCGATTCTCCCAAATTGGGTTAGTGTCATCAAATAGTGTCAATCGTAAAAGTTGAAATTGAAAGAGATTTGTTAGAGTGTGGTGGTTGGTTCGATCGATGGAATTTGAATGTACGAAAAACACAAAAAATGGACTTTTTTGGTTTTTGAGTTGATTAACGGCTTGCTACATTCTGTCAGCTGTTTTAAATTTTTGCCAATTATAGAAGTTTTACTGAAATGGAAAAAACTTAAAAAATCCACTAAAATGAACGACGTAAAGACAGTTAACTTGCATTTAATTTCAAGGAAAATCTTAAACAGTTTGTTTTCTCAACATTGTTATTTTTTCGGTTTCTTTTTGATTTTTTCAGTTAACTTCAAATTCAATTATTAAATGTCAGGCAAATTGCGCATTGGGTGAAAAATAGTGGCTGATTTTTAGTTTCAAAAATGGATCTTAGTTTTTTTGATTTTCGAGCGGAATAAATATTTCACCAATTTTGATCAAATTTTCTAAAAGGTTAGTTTTATCAAAAAAAAGTGTCAATCATAGAAAGTTGAAAGAGTTTAATTTGATATATTTTTTCTACAAAGCATTTGGAAATGAAAACTCTTTAATAAAAGGTCTTTTTTCTGCTTCTTTGATTTCTGTATGGTAGATTTACGTAAATGTTTTAAAAGTTATTTTGAATGCTTTAAAGAGTGGCGATTCGAATATTTTTGGTCGATGATCAAGATTTAAAAAAGACGCGTTTTGTTTGATTCTAACTTCATGTCGTCAATTGCTCTCTGGCGTGAGCGCTCAGTTTCAACGATTTTTTTTGACAGAAGTTGAATAACCGAACTTTTATGTGCTAATATTATTGTGCCTGATAGCTATACAAACATTGCTTAAAATATTGCTAAATGTGTTGTTTTGTTTAAGTAATTGTTTTTTTTTGGTTTAGGGGTGTTAAATTTTGAATCTATTCACAGTGTTACACGAAAGTTTTTCAGCCTGGCTTCGAAGTTCTTTATTTTCTGATGAAATTGGCGTATAAAGGTTGCAGTTTTAACTTGAAGCATCAATTAAATACAAGGCGATTTGTCATTGTCATCATCATCATCATCATGACTAAGGCACTACTGCCCATTGTCAGCCACATATTGAGTCCCGAACTATCGCACGCCATCGCTTTCTGTCCAGGGCTGCCTCCATGCAGGCATCTTTCCAGCACAATCTCCACTTGTCTGCCCTCATGTTCGGTGGTTTCAGAACACGTTCGAGGTCAGCAGCGACTGTTGATCTCCATGTTCTTCTGACCCCACCTCTTGGTCTTTTCCAAGTGGGCGCCTTCTCGAAGAACAGTGCCTCCTTCGTCACTCTCTCATCCGGCATTCTGAACACATGTCCACACCACTTCAGTCGCATACGCCTCAGCACATAGTCCATAGGTGAGTCAAGTTGTGCTTTGCGAAGCAGTTCCTGGGTACTATTTCGAATCCATTGTAGACAAATTGCCGTGCACACCTAGTTTCGAATGAGGACAACCTGGCCTGGTCCCCTTTCTTAACCGGCCATGTTTCTGCGCCGTATAGGAGAGCACTTCTTACGCATGCTTTGTACACTTTGCTTTTGGTCCTGGTGGTTATGTTTCTGTTACTCCAGAATTTCTTCAGCTGCGCAGCATTTCTAGTCGCGCTGGCTATTCTGTGCTGAACTTCTGGGGTAATGTCTCCGTTACAGGTGATGCGGCTTCCTAGGTAGTCGAACTCAGTGACGTTTTCTAGCTTAACACCATTACAAAATAGCACCGTTGGCTCGCAACAGGAGAACATGCACTTAGTCTTGGACTCGTTCAGTTGGAGTCCTACCAATTTTGCGGCGTCAACTACTCGATTCAGTAAGTTCTGGGCATCATCTGGATTGTCCTCTAGCAGGCAAATGTCATCTGCATAGTCCAGGTCAGTAATACTGGTTTCTAGCCGGATACCTAGATTCGTGTTATCTGTGGCGACGTTCAGGATCCAATCAATGAGGATGTTGAACAGGAAGGGTGACAGGACGCCACCCTGGCGGACTCCTGTTTCCACGTGGAACGCCTCTGATAGGTTGTCGTTTCTTCGCACGTTGCTGTTGGACTGTGAATCATGTTCCTGAGAATCCTAAGCAGCTTGTCTGGCATTCCGTGATCTTCCAGGATCTTCCATATGGCATCTCTCTTGACGCTGTCAAAGGCAGCTTTGAAATCTATGAAGACCATCACTGTGGGTCTATTGTACTCACTTCGCTGCTCGATTATCTGTCGTAGGGCGAAAACTTGATCTCTACAACCTCTTCCCTTCTTAAAGCCGGCTTGATTATCTCTCGCATATGAGTCGTAGAGGTCGTCAAAACGTGCGAGGAGTATAGCTTCCAGGATTTTTAAACCAATGCAGAGCAGAGATATTCCTCTATAGTTGCTGCACACTAGTTTGTCACCTTTTTTTATGAAATGGCAGGAGTATTGACGTTCGCCATTCATCTGGGACTGCCTCTTCTCTCCATATATTTTTGAAGAGGTCTTTCAGAAGAAGTACTATTCTCTCACCTCCTTTTTTGAACAGTTCGGGTGGGATGTGGTCGCACCCGCCAGCTCTGTGGTTATGGAGGCTTGCTAGTGCAACCTCAATCTCACTTCTTAGCGGCTCTCCCTGATCTATATCCGTGAAGACTCCAGTACTCGAGACGACCTTGGGCAGTTGGGCCGGGCTGTTGTCAGCATTCAGAAGTTGGCAGAAGTGAGTTGCCCATCGTTGCATGACTTCCTTGCTATCGCTGATTTGTTGGCCATCGAGACCTTTGACTGTTTGTGAACTACTCGATTTGGCACCACTCAAAGTCCGAATGAGGCGGTACATCTCTCTAGTGTGTCCTCTTTCATTGGCGTCCTCAATTTGATCCGATTTCATGTCGAGGTAGCAGTTCTTGTCTTTTCGGATGAGTTTTTTCACCAGCTTTCGTTGCGCAGCTATTTTCGAGAGTTCAGCGCCCTTAGCCTTGAGGTTTTCGCGTGTTCTGATGGCTTTGAGGGTTTCATCAGATATCCAAGGTTTCCTTACGGTGCACGAGATTCCCAGATTCTTTTTCGCCGATGATATCATACTGTCTCTTAGGATTTCCCATTTCTGGTTCACGTTGCTGGTAGATTCGGTTACTGAACAAAGGGCCGTACAGTATTTCCTGGAAGTACCTGTATGTTGGAGCGCATCGAGGTTGAGTCTAACTGTTCTATGGGTTTTGACATATGTACGAAGTTTCGTCTTCAGATTGCATTTCACCATTCTATGGTCGCTGTCGATCCAAATCTTGTCACTTCTTGCTCTGATATCGTTGATCGCTGTGCGCCATCTCCTCTTGATCAGGATGAAGTCTATCTGGTTCCGGGTTCGTCTGTCGCGTGATATCCAGGTATATAGCTGGTGGTTCTTCTTCTGGTACATCGTGTTTGCAATTGCCAGGTCGTTCGTAGCTGCAAACATAGCGAGGCGTTCGTAGCTGCAAACATTGTCAGCTTAAAACCGATCCAATTAACCTTGTTTTGAAGTCACGTCATTCAAAACAATCACAGTTTTAGTATTTATTCAGCGTTTCCTGCATTTTTAATGAAATCATAGTTTTTTGTTTAAATGGGTATATATTTTAAGATTTTGGGAAATTGATGAGGTACATGGACTTTTTTCCATTGTAACACCATCCTACTGATGTAAAACTTCTAGGCATTCAAGCTTTTAGTTTTTTTCGGGCTTACTGTGGGCTAAAATTGGAAATGCTGCAATGTTTTGTTAATGAGGTCTCTGACAGAGCAATAAGCGCATGCGACTGTCAAAGTACTAAATCAGGTGGTTTGATTTGTTCTAGGAAATTATGCTATTAACATCCTATGTTTAATTTAAATATAAATCACCAGGTAAGTTATTATTCAGGAGGGTCAAACAATCGAGACGTGCCAAATAAGTGACGTGAGACGTGGCGCCAGAGGTCAATTCGGAGAACTCCTTCGTGAAAAGTTCAGCGTCTCTCAACAACCCCCTTTAGTTCCAAACTCATTCTCATCCCTCCCTGGAGCCCCCAATATGTGCAATAACAACAACTCTTCCGGAAACAGCAATTCACAATCTGGAATGTTGACTAGTCAGAATAGCATGTCGGGAAGTGGCAATTCTGGAACATCAGGATCCATAAATTCAGGTAACTTGAAGTTAGGAGTCCTCTGAATTACTTAATAGGAAGAAAGCCGATAAGATTATCGATTTATTTCACTTGCGACAGCAAGAGTACTTGTAATAGAGAACTAGAATTTTTCGTAAACAACTTTCTTACAAACCTGTTAGAATTACGTGCAGTTATCTTCACGTGCAGTCTCGCATTCTCAGTCCTGTTGAAAATTCAATTAAAATTACCGCATTCATTTTAGTAGTAATTCAATTTTAAATGTAAAAGAACGAAGTGTTTCATCGATGATTTTTTTTTTTTTTCAGGAGTCTTAAAACTTGATCAAATTTGATTTGTCGCTGTTTGCGTTTTGATTTCTTTTCAAGCTAAATTCAAAAACGTGAATGATTTCTAGTTTCAAATTAGTTTTCTATATTCCCAGCGAAATTGAAAAATTACCTTTGAATCCTGTTTTCTCTAAATTGAACAGTTTTGCAGAAAAAAGTGTCCTCTATAATCAGTATCTGAATTTCAAAGACCTTCATCGTGATATATTTTCTTTGAAAATCGAACTTTGAAAAATGTTCGGTGTCCGCATTTCCCCCTCCCACCTAAGTCCCCTTCCCCTAAGTCGGCCCCTGATTTGGATGAATGTTTTAAAGGATGATATCACTGCTTCAGGTTACAATCAGAACGTGAAAGCAGCCCTAGTTAACCCTGTAATGAGTCAACTAGGATCCACAGCAGTCGGGTTCCAATCGGGAGGCGTGGGGTCACAGAATACACAAGGAGGTCAACAGCAGTCATCAGTATATTTCGAAGATAGGGTGCTAGTGGTAGTGTGTGGGCTGGACTTTGTGAATTTGACCTACTGGTACTTTTGTATGGATTCCCAACAGACAGTCATGGTTAGTAATACTTTTATGTAGTTCTTTTTGTTCCGAGCATAGAACATACAAAGAAGTATACAAAAACTATGACGAAGGGTGTTTTAACGCGTTTTGACATCCTCAAAGAATGGTTGTAGGGGTGCAAAAGTGCTATCATACTAAAGAGTATTCTACATGATTCGGATTCCGAATGAGTTAGGACTGGAGTGTATAACTCATAGAGTAATTTCGGATAGGGTACACCGTCTGCTCGTCACGCTATCTTATTTTCGGCCGGATAGATTCGTGCAACTTCTTAGTCTAATACCGATCCTAATCTTACTCTTATACTATCTAGTCTCAGGTTGTTTAACTAGTCTCTGCTAGGCTCAATAGATCTAGGGTATACTGGTTTATTGCGGCTGCTGAAGTGCTCGGGAGAGTCCAACTAATTTCTAAGTTAAATTCAAATCTCTCTGGTGCTGAAATTACAAGTAACTTCAGCACTTACAAATAAGTGGGTTGTTAGTTAGATGGATCATGATTGGTTAATATTAAATACTTTACATTGGTAAAACATTTAATTTATCCAATCATAAAATGTAGTTTAGATCAGGTTCCACCCATCCGGGTTTTACAGAGTTTTTTAGAACAGTTCTGTAATTCAAGGATGGATGATGGACGTTGGTATTTGGCGAACATCATAATTTTCTTCCGCTTCTTCTTTGTTAAGGAAGTTCCAGGAAGTTGGAGTTAGAGACATAAGACGTTGTGTTCTTCTTGTGACAACGACTGAGTCTCTGCAACAAAGTCAATTCTGATTTCAGAATGGTTGGCTATGTCAGGTTTTTCTGTTCTTCGGGGAGAACTTCTTTTGTGTCTGATCTAGCTTGGGAATGGCGTGGAGATTGTGCGTGGAGGGGATGCCTGGTTACTCTGATCTGTACGTATACTTGAACATCGAGGTGGTCATTGGTCTAGTTCAATGAAGTCCTTTTCTGCGAAGTCAAGTCGTACTCTAAATCCTTTGAGTTGTGGTTGTGAGCGGCATATCGATTGTAGTTGGTCATTCTCTCTCGAGTGTAGTGGGGTCGTCTTGTCTTTTGATGTTCGTCCTTGGTGTTGTATTCTGATCTATATATTGCATCATGTGATTTTACATTTTATAAAACTTTTATTAGTTTAATATTTTTTAATAATGATTTTAGTTAGTTGTTTTCACAAAAGCTTTTTGTTTTAGTTCGGTTATTTTGAAGAGTTACTCACACTTGAGTAGCTCTTATTAAAAATAAAGGTGTGGTCACAAAGCGTGGGTGTAGCGCGGTGGGTTAGGCCGGCTATAGAGCATGCTCAGGACGTCCTTCCTGGTGGGTTAGGCCAGGGGTGGGAGTATGATTTCATGCGGTTTTTGTGAGGGGTCCTGTTATGTGACAACGTTTTATGTTGGGTTTGTTGTGGTCTTACTTATGTCTTGTTGGTTATGTACTTTTTCCAAAAAGCAAATTGTTTGTGGTATGGGTTTGTCTTTCGACTTTTTTGTGTTTTATTATTTCTTTCTAAGACTTTGTAATAGTCTTCAAAAGAATAAATTATCCAGTTTTAAACTGGGTTAATCCGGTTTGGGTACCGTTGGTTTCCTTTTCTAAGTCATGCTGTTATTCTATGATTTGTGGTATTTAGTAAGCTGCGTTGGTTAGTTTTGTTTAGTATATGATTCCTTTCCAACCGGGTTAAAGGAAAATTTGAAACATGTTATTATATGTTAGAGTTGTTGAGTGTGAAAACTTGAAACTGAAATTCATTATTTTAAACAATTCTTCGTGGGCGAGCTGTGCGAGTGTGGATAGAATATTGTGCGAATGAATGAGAATATCAAAAGGTTAGTACTGCATTTGCATTTATTTAATTTACTACATAGAATTCGGAAATTTACTGCTAGTTATGGGGGAATTTTAAGTTACAAATTTTCATCATTATTAGATTTACTGCTTTGGGGAAAATATTATAGATAAATTTACTGCATTGATATTAATTTAAGAAGTTTATAAGTGTAAGAGATTAATAGAATTTTTAAAATTGTTTGATGAAAATTGTGATTTTTATTGTTTCTTTTGTGGTTTTTGTAGGTGATTGTCGGATGAAAGCTAAAAATCTAATGAAAACATGAATAAAGAATGGTGAGTTTTTAATACTGTAATTAGTTAGTAATATTTACTTAATTCATACTTACCTGTTAGTCGTCGGGGAAAAAACCGTGGGGGAAGATGTCGTGAATTAGTTCTGAAGTTGTTAGTAGTTTTGCTAGAATGCGGATGATATTTTTAGTCTGAAGCAGTGGCCAAAGCAATTGAAGTGCCTTAATAGTGGTTAGTTCTTCAGTGCCTACTGCAAACTCATAAGGTGTGTTTTGGATTAAGTTATATAATTTGTGGTTAAATTTAGTGTTGTGGATGAATTCTAAAATTGGGATTTCTATAGGCTGTACAAACTCGTGCGGGATAAGGAAGGGTCGGGATTCTTCGGCGTTGAAGGTCTTGGTGATGGGGCAGAAAATGTACATTTGGGTTATGGGGTCATAATTACGAAGAATACCATGGAGGTTAGTGTCTTTAATACAATATGTGAAATTTAGGAAATACGGTGAAGTGTATTTTGAATTGATGAATTGAAAACGATGGTGTGGTTGTCTAGAGGGTGTGTGGAGGTCAAAGTGATTTTGGATGAAACGATAGTAACTGTATGTATGTGTTTGTTTAGTGCGCAACATAATATCATGTGAGCAGTGCAAATCTCTTTCGTGTGGTGCAAGGAAGTGAAAGGTTAGTGAAAAGATTTGGAAGCGTTCTTTAAAACTTTCGTATGCTTGTGTGTTTGTTAGTGCTTCTGAAATAATGTGATCAAACTTTCGGTCGAAGATGTTTAGTGTAAATACATATGGTGTCTTGATGAAAAATTTCTCGGTGATTTGTGGATTAGCGAAGCGATCGTCGTCTAAGAATTGATCTTGGTTAGCTCTGATGATGTTGTGATCGTAGTATTCTAGTGTATATTCATTAGCTCTAGGTGCAGTGTGTATTTTTAGTGATTTTTTATATCCAACGTAAGTAAACTGTCTGGCGGTTAGTGGTGTAGTTAGTTGATATAGCATGTCTTTGTTTCGTTCTATATCGATGGAAGTGTTGGATAAAGGTAAGCGAAGGGGGTTAGTGAAATGATAGTATGAGGTCCAAGAGAGAGTGGGCATTAAAACGTATTCATCTACAAAGTTGCGTGTTTCGTTAGCGTCGTGAGGGGTGTTTAAAGTGTATTGTGGAAATGAGGGTAAAGTGATAGCTAAAAATTCTTTAGTGTTAGTATGCTGGGGGTGGTTGATGTATTCACGGGCTGTTCCTGGTTTTGCTGGGAAAGGATGGTTGGGGAATTTTCTTTTAAAAGTGCGGTAAGCTCTATTAGTGTTTAGTGAAGATATAGTGGATGTGGATGATGGTGTTAATGATTCAGTATAATTTGAAGAGGGTGTAGGGGGATTGGATGAATCTGTAGTGGAGGAGATTTGGTTTATGGTCGGGGTGTTAAGGTGGTAGGGTTGTTGTTGGAGGGTAATAAAATTATCTAGCTCTGGGGAGATTCGGGGGGTGTCTGGAGAATGAGATGATTGGTCAGAATGGTATGAGGAGTAGGTTGGGGTAACTTGGGAAGCATAAGAGGGTGTTGGAGTGATTGGGTCAGGGTTATTGGATAATATGGGTTGAAAAGGAGGTTGAGAAAAATTAGAAGGGTTATGAAAATTATTGGATGGGGATGGTTCTGAGTCGGCAAATTCATCGGGGGTTTCAATATTCGGGTTATTTAGTTGTGAGATGGAGTATAAAACTGAAATATGTGAGTTAGTGTCGGAATTCATGCCTGATGTTACATTGCTAGATGGAAAATCGGGTGGCGGAAAAGCAAAAAGTGGTATGATTGGGATTGGAGAGGTAAGATTGGTTGGATGGGAATTTGATCGATGTAGTGATCCAAGTTGGCGGCTCATCGTGGGCTAAAAAAATTATTATTTTGAGATTGAAAAGCGGTGGTATGGGGCTGTTCAATAATTTGTTCATAAGTATTATCATCTTGTGACTGGTGTGTCATTATATGTTGAATGGGACTTTGTGATGTGGTGAGTCGAAAATTTGGATTATGTGTGATGGCTAAGTTTCGAAAATTTCGTGGGACTAGGGATAGTGGATGGTTATTTGGTAGGGGTGGTAATTGTGGTGCCGTTGGCTGTGTGTCGACATTGTTATGTTCTTCGTCGTATGTATTTTGTCGTGTTGTTATTTTTGTGTTATATTCTTTTATTTGTGCGTCTAAAAGAATTTTGTTTATTGATGTGGAAAAAATTCCAAAAAATCCTGCAAAGAGTATGCGTGCTACGCTTGCTTGTCTGTTTACTTGTGTGTGTATAGCACATGTGTTGTAGATTCCTTTTAAAAGTGAGAAAAGAAATCCAATAAAGTTAAACATTGCGTATAAAATAGTCAATTTTTCTAAGATGTAGTAGGGCCATCCTAGAAAATCAAGGATTTCATTCTTGAGTGTAACAAAGCTAAAAATGTTAATTGGTGATATATCTTGGGGACGGTATTTTTCGCCGTTTAGATATATATAATCTTTAATGTCTTTAAAATATCCGCTGTAGTCTTGCGTGTAGATATCGGCAAATCCTGCGGTTTCTGCAAGTTTGCGTAAATTTTGGTCTATTGATTGTCTTTGTATTGTGTCCATTTGTGTTAATAATTCTTGGAATTGTTGTGTTCTAATGTGATGTTGAATATCTGATTTTGAATAGATTCCTATTGATTGTAAGTCTATATTTGGGTTTCGAGCAATAGCGCGAATGCTTTCTGGTGAAAATTTTTTGAGTGATTGCATTAATGTGGGATATGGAGTGAGAAGATAATATTTATTTTCATCAGGGTTTAGTTGTACTACATTGTGGCTGTTTTCTGATCCACATGGGACTGCGGTATCCCAGAAATAGGTTCTTCGTGAAA